ACGTTTTGAGGGAGCGTGCAATTGGCATGCTGACTGCAGGAATGTCCACCAGAGCTGATGCCCATGAATTGAATGTTCATTTCTATACCTTAAGGCGTTTCAAGAATTTGGCAGTACATGCAACCAGCCTCACAACTGCAGGACACGTGTAACCACACCAGCCCAGGACATCCACATCCAGCATCTTCACCTCCAAGATCGCCTGAGACAAGCCACCCGGACAGCTGCTGCAACAATCGGTTTGCATAATCCAAGAATTTCTGCACAAACTGTCAGAAACCGTCTCAGGGAAGCTCATCTGCATGCTCGTCATCCTCATAGGGGTCTCGACCTGACTGCAATTCATCGACGTAACCGACACGGGTGGGCAAATGCTCACATTCGATGGCGTTTGGCATTTTGGAGAGGTGTTCTCTTCACGAATGAATCCCGGTTTTCACTGCACACGCTGTGGATCAAGTGGCCCACGGTGGCAGTGGGGGTAGGCGTATGTTATGGACAACGAACCCAGGTGCATTTTATTGATGGCATTTTGAATCCTGAGGCCCATTGTTGTGCCATTGATCCACGACAATCACCTCATTTTGCAGCATGATAATGCAGGGCCCCATGTTGCAAGGATCTGTACACAATTCCTGGAAGCTGAAAACCTCCCAGCTCTTGCATGGCCAGCATACTCATCAGACATGTCACCCATTGAGCATCTCTGGGATGCTCTGGATCGGCGTATACGACAGCGTGTTCCAGGTCCTGCCAATATCCAGCAACTTCACACAGCCATTGAAGAGGAGTGGACCAACATTCCACAGGCCACAATCAACAACCTGATCAGCTCTATGCAAAGTAGATGTGTTGCACTTTGTGAGACAAATAGTGGTCACACCAGATACTGACTGGTTTCCGGACCCCCCCTGCACCCCCTCAATACAGTGAAACTGCACATTTTTGAATGGCCTTTTATTGTGGCCAGCCTAAGACACACCTGCGCAATACCCATGCTGTCTGATCAGCATCTTGATATGCCACACCTGTGAGGTGGATGGATTATCTCGGCAAAGGTGAAGTGCTCACTGAACTTACTGAAAGAAATAGGCCTTTTGTGTACATAGAGAAAGTCTTACATCTTTGAGTTCAACTCATGATGAATGGGGGCAAAAACGAAAGTGTTACGTTTATAATTTTGTTCAGTGTAAGTAGATGTTTTATTTTACCTAAGCCTGCAACACACAGTTTCCTGTATAAACATTACTTCAAAAATGAAACTGAACAACATTAATTCACAATTAATGCTTGATGGGTCCCTGACCTCTGTGGCATTTCAACACTCTGCTGTGGATTTGACATCTTTATCTTACTTTCAGTAATGGAAGTTAAGAGCAACAAATAACAGACAATGTTACAGCAGGCAAGCTTCAACTATCACTATCACTTCAACGTGTAGATCACCAACATATTGTTAATCATTAGAAAGTTTGTTTTTCTGACTAACTACCTATATCACTCTATGCGTTCAGAAACACAGAGAAGCTGTTTACATAAAACAGTCTGTTCAAATACCACAGTTCCCGAGATAACATATTCTCAGAACCAGAACACAGGCTTATCGGATTTTCTACCACTAGGATATGATGTTTAAACACAAGTACACACTTGATGTGAGCACATGTGTATCTTACCTGTCTCATCATGCACTGCAGAAGTCCCTGCATCAGCTTTACCACACTCTGCCAACAAACAACAGCTTCATCAGTATTATACAAAAATCAGACAAAATGTCACTAAAACTCAAATTATTTTGAGTAGAGGTAGAAATCACGAATCACTCAAAGATTCGTGGTCACTGACAATGTAGTTTGTTCAGACAGTCATCACTGTTAAAATGTACCTTAGTACATAAACCTACTTTATTTAATCATAAAGTAATAATTAAATGATTAAAATAAGAGATGCAAGTAAAATTTTATTACAGAGCAATTGAACATTGTATTAAAGTTATTAATTTACTGTTAATCACTAAATCTATAAAATTACTCAAAGTTACAAGAGCTAAGAATTACATAACTGGTAGAACAAACAGGCACTGGTGTAGAGATTAACCCCCTCTCTTGCTCTCTGTCATAAACACACCTGCTCCAGTTCATAGGCTTTGGCCTTGTCTTCATCGCGGTCTGCATTCTTGCGGTAGGCCATGCCCAGCCCCCACACAGCCAGGACACTGTACACATTATCCCTCACCCAGGCATCCTTCTTCTGGGCACTGGCGGGCAAAAGTCCTGTCACTGGGTTCTGAAACAAACACACACACGAGGGCTTAATTTACAATAAGGACTGTAACACATTTACAGTTTCTGTTTGAGTTACTGACTAATATCTCTGTAAATCATTTTATTGACCAGTTCCCATAATTCAGATAAGAAAATGTCTGACAATAAATATCAAGAAAAAAAATATTTTAGAGCTGCAGATAACAATTCCTTCTCAATTTTTCTGCAAATTATTTTATTGATTCCTTTGGTAATCATTTTATTTAGAAAAACATCAGAAAATATCACAAATTCCAAAAGTGACAGTTTCGTCAGTTTTGTCTGTTGTCAAACCAACAGTTTAAGTCTATAGGTTTACTATGATATAAGACAAGGCAAGCAGCAAATCTACACATCTGAGAAGATGTAATATTTGTAATCAGATTCTTTTCTGTTGACTACCTATCAATTACTTTCCATTCTAAATAATTTTCCATTCTAAATAATTTTATATGTATTATGATTTACTGTTTACAGTGTCTTATTATCATACAGTGTCTTATTATCATATTACAATGTCTTATTATCATATTATTTCAAGGAAAGGACATATCTTTTTAGTTAAGAGGCTCACGCAAATAAAACATTATGACAGTTTGACGGCTGAATGAAAGTGAATGAGATTTTAAGTTGGGCTAGTGAGTTACTAATACAGCAATTTAAATAGTTTCAGTTTTTGGTTCATTGTGCCCCTTGCATGTACATGCTTTGTAAGTGAAGTTGACACAGTTCTCCATCAGCTGTGAATCCTCTGGGTCACAGTTTTAAACTTAGGCAGCTGTGTATAGCACCTCTCTATGAGATCAAGTGCTGATAGACAAAGGTGAATAGTTTTCCAGGCCTCAGCCTATTCCAGGGGCTGAACTTTGCTCACCCCTTGTTTATCTCTATGCAGCTCAACCTTATCCATTACCCTACATTTACCAGCGACACTAAAACGTTGCTTACATGGTAATGCATCAATAATTATGATCAAATTATAAAATATATATAATTCTGAAATGGGCTATGAAGCAGAAGTACATTTACTTGTGTAACTTTGAGTATATTTTGATGCAAATGCTCGTAAGTCTTGAATGCAGGACTTATATTTGCAACAGAGTATTTCTACACTGTGCCAGAGCTACTTTTACGGAAGCAAAACTTCCGTAAAACATCGGCTTCAGCAGCTTCACAGAATTGACTTTTCTCCTGTATCCTAGTACGTATTTTTAGACTCACCTGGTGGCACAGGATAGTCTCATGGACCAGCCTGGCATAGCCATCCAACCTCACTCCTGAGTTACTGCGGCTCCTCATCCTGAATGATCACTGCACACACAACAAGTTATATCTCAACAGTATACGGCACTTCAAGCTCGGCCATTTGCGAAATTGAGTATATTATAAATACAGCGACTAAATGAAGCTTAATCACTGTGGTGACTTACCATACAGTGACGCATCCCTGTAGTCCTGCAGCAAGGATTTGATCTGACACCTTCTGCAGAGGCTGCTGCTCTGCTAGAGCTTGCTAGCTGAGTAGCATCCTGCTGTCTTTGAAGACAAATACAGTTAAAGTTAAACGCACAACCTGCTCTCACACATCAACCCACAGCCCGGTGTTCCGGGTGTGGTCAAACGGCTTGGTCTGTACAGCCAGGCCCTATGCGTGAGGGGCAGGCTACGTATGTAAGTAGCTGTATATCTGCTCTGGGAAAAAACAATATGTCCTTGTTGTTTGATTATTTGACGACAGGGGGCGCAAAATGACCTCTATGTCCTCCCTTTCCAAGGTTTCAAGGCACAATCCAAATGTGAACAGGCAGCCACCTTTCCAAAAGGTTCAAGTTTACTTGTGAAGCAACTTTTCATAAAAAATAAAGTGCTATAAGGGAGAATTAAAAAGTCAAAAAAAAATCATCAGAAAAGAAGAAAAACTAAGGAGGATAACAGCACAGAAAACATAATAACTAGAGGTAATTTAAGTATTTTAATGAATTACTTCAGTACAGTGAGTCCTGCACTCAAGATTACTTCAGTCAAAGTATAGAGGTATCAACAACAAAATAAAAAGTATCAAAAGTTGCCCCTTCTTATGTGATTATTAGTCTTATATTTATTATGTTGTTATAATTATTATATTTTAAATACTGATGCATTAATGTGTAGTTGGTCAAAGCAGAGCTAACTACTTTTGATATAGTTCATCTATAACAATGCATCATATTTTACAAAGTGATCATATGTGTAACAAATTACCCATTGTTGTCGACTGAAGGTTAAAAGCTGGCTGTATACTTTACATATTGTAGACATGCAAATACTGTAGGTACTTGAAACACTACTGTAATCCCATTCAGTTTACAATAATAGATTTATTTATTGACAGTGTATGTTGTTAATTTGTATTTATGTATATTTCCCCTGATTGCATGCAGATAAAACTTGCATGTCTGTGTTTGTTGTAGTTGTATATATAGTATGAAACTGTCATGTGGTAGGGAAACACTTTACCAAAGATAAGTGGAAACGACTGTGGTAACTTTCAGCCACAGTCTATGAAATAAAAAAGAAGAAAAAAACATACAAACAAAAACTTTCAGCCACCGTCAAAGCCATAACTGCGTGCTAGGACTAACGTCACGTATAACGGAATCTTTCAGCCAATCAAAATCGATAGCTGTCCCTTTTTTCAGCCAATCACAGCACAACTGTCTTAGTGGTCGTCTCACCAGCAGCCACCATCCGGTAACGTTAGGTAGTTTAGCGTCAAGCTGGCTAAGAAGCTAACCCACAGAAATATCTTGTGTTTTTCGCTTGAAACATACTGAAGGTAGCAGTCGTCCGAGTGACTAAGTCGAAGGCCTGGTTGAAGGTAAAGAGTCGTGTTTTTCTTCTCGTATGTGCTGTAGCTAGCCGAGCGTCGCAGGAGGGGGCGCAAATGTCACATAACGTGTTGTTATGTGGCCAGTTGGTAAGGTTAGCTAACAGAAGCTAATGAAACTTTGAGCAAAAACCTCCTGGACGTCAAATTTAGGAAATTTTAAACAACGTTATGATCAAATGGCTAGGGCGTGTTACCGTCGAAAATAATAATACACGCATTTCGTGGTCGGGCGTTTCGTATTAGTAACGTTATTCCAGTAGAAGAGCTTACGTAACGTTACTGAATGAACTTTCTTCTCATGGATAAATAATAATAAGCACGATGACAGATCACTTCCCACCGACCAGTCGGTGCCTTTACCACTATTATGTTTAACTTCTTTTAATATATCTGTCTCTCAAAACAATGTAAGTTAATGTTTATCTCATCTCAACCGTGGATAACTTTCAGCTAACTTCCTTCCTCAGATGCAGTTCATGCTGCTGTTCAGCCGGCAGGGAAAGCTGCGGTTACAGAAGTGGTATGTGCCTCTGTCCGACAAGGAGAGGAAGAAGATCTCCAGAGACCTGGTGCAGACCATACTGGCCAGGAAGCCCAAGATGTGCAGTTTCTTAGAATGGAGGGACCTCAAGATTGTGTACAAGAGGTAAGTGAAGTACTGGCTGTGATATCCTTACACTCACTTTGTCTACAGTATGCTTTACACTCATGGACAAACATGTGTAGATGTATTTTGCTGTTTCTAACCTTTTCAGACCTTTGTCTTATCATCTGAACAAGGTTTTCAGCACACGCTTGAATCTCTCAGGTTGTTTTCAGTATTGTTACTCCACTCATCTGTGACATGTTCTGAAACAGGCTTGATTTTGATCAAAATATCTATTCAAATCAAATCAGTCTCGCGAAAGCTGCTGACTACTTGCTTATCATGAGATATTGCAGCCAGCTCGTTGAGTTTATTCCTGCCTATGGAAATAGTTTCACATAATAATCTTTACGCCCAAAGATGTGTTGAAATTCAGTTTGTTACATCACTTGTGTATCTGCCATGGCTTGTTTATGAAAACCAATGATTCACTGATTATTATGTGAAGCACTGAGATTCCTGGCATTTAGATCTCACCTTCTGGTGTGTTATGAAAGCCAGAAACACCTCCTCTCTAATAGCAAGTGCCAAACAATAGAGGACAGTGATACAAATATATAAGGAGTGCCTGATTTTTTTCTGGACATATGATTGCTGTGTCATAAAAATACAAAATACATGTCCTTGTGTTCAATATAATAAAGATAACTAATAAACAAAGACAAACAACAAAACAGCCAGGAGACAGTGACGCAGTACTGCAGCACTGAAAGAGATGTTTAATTTATCCAATGTAATATCCCTGCAATAAATCCTATCTGAGTAAAGCCTACAATGTTCTAGAGATGTTGATTCAAATTTCATTTATTAAAATGTGTTTTTATTCTATTTGATGGAAGGGTTGAAGTGTCAGGACTGTATAAAAACAGATGCTTTCATTGGTTTATTAATGCCAAGGTACACCATGATGTAGCCATAGCAGCAAATACTTGCATAAACTAACGTTTTTCCTTTAAAGGCCAGCTGTTGTGTGACTGCAGCTGAGTCCCTGTGTTTTATTTCAGTACAGATCTGTATTCTTGAGTGTGGACAGTGATTACAGCCATGTTATTAACATTGACATGTTTCTGAGAGAGCAAAGGTATTTCTGTTTGTACACATCACCGCCATGTTAATCGGCATGCTGCCTTTTTATTTCATCACTTCCTTAGATATGCGAGCCTGTATTTCTGCTGTGCAGTAGAGGATCAGGATAATGAGCTGATCACCCTGGAGATCATCCATAGATATGTGGAGCTGCTGGACAAATACTTTGGCAGCGTGAGTCTCGTAAATTTTAGACATATAACATGCTGAGTGATAGTGGGAGGGGGAAAAATACTGCAATTTACTGCAAGAAAGAAAATGTTCAGTTAGGACAGGCTCTCTTCTGATCTACTGCTATTTGGGGTGTTGTGGTTTCACAGGTGTGCGAGTTGGATATTATCTTCAACTTCGAGAAGGCCTACTTTATCCTGGACGAGTTCCTGCTGGGCGGAGAGGCCCAGGAAACATCCAAGAAGAACGTGTTAAAGGCCATCGAGCAGGCTGACCTGCTACAGGAGGTACGCACAGTTCTTTGTAAACATACCTGAACCTATTTGAGGGGCAAACCATAGTGTCAGGTGAAAAGTACTTGGAGTAGGGTGGGGATTTATGATTATTATTACCTGATGATGTATTTCTCAATTAATTGATTAAGATAGATTAAGCTGCTGGTTTCAGTTTATCAAGCTAAGCAAATTTGTGGCGTATTTGCTTTAAGAATTATTTTAACAAGTCATCCATTATCTTATAATTGCCTTTTAAATTTTCTATTTGTGTAACACAGCCATGCTAATGTTAAACCAGACACAAGCATACATCCAAGATGTTGAGGCATCGCTTTTTTCACCCTGCGGCCCTCTACACCTTCATTTGTCATCTGCCGTAATCTCTTTATTTTAAGCCTGCAGCGCTTAATTAATACCTCCCTCTCCCTTGTGCCAGTGTGATAGAGCAAGTGCTGTCCTGCACATTGCATCGCTGTCTAGCTGTAGTCATTTGCAGTCAACAGAATCAGCGCTCAGTGTTTTATTTATAGCAAAACACGCAGCCTTATTGTTTAATGGCTGACTGTGCAGCAGGCCTGCAAAAGGTTTAACTCACTGGAATGACCTGTTCCCGTCACACATTTAGTAAATTGCAGTTATGACTCATGTACTATTAATTACAATTTGGAGGCGTACTTTGCGCTGCAAAATTTATAACAAGAAAGCAACATTTATCTATCTTTCCTTCATCTGCAGGAGGCTGAGGCGCCACGGAGCGTTTTAGAAGAAATTGGGCTGACATAAATCCTCATGCTGCTGCCTCACAGTTCTTTCTCCCAGATGCAGATCTGGCAACCTCCATGTCTCTATCCCGTCTTCTCCTGTTCACTGTGTCAGTGTTGTATGTGTATAATCACCATCTATGTACTGTATTATTCTGTACTGTACTATCCTGTAATGTCCTTTGAATGTGGTGCCAACTGTGGTTTTAATGTGTCCCCTATGTACAAGCTCCCTCACTGTATTTTGCAGTACTATTGGCATACTTCACTCCCTTAACTTCTTAAAACTCCACAGAGTACAATGTAGCGACAATATAAAAACTCCAGCATCACATCAATGTCATCCATCATCACCGAATGCAGAGTTGTGTGCGCTGACTTTTTGGCTTAAAGGACTTTTTAAGGTGCTGTTGTAGCTGCAGTTGGTGCATCCCGTACAAGTCACAGAGCTAAGTGTCTGATTTCATGAAAAATGAATACTCTGTGATCTTTGAAAAATCCAGGTCGTTCAATAAAACTTAAAGCTGTTAAGGTATTTCCTGAATCCTCAGACTCTCCTACCCGCATCTGGATGATAAAAAGGTTTGTAACTTGTTTCTTAGGTTGACTTTGTCCTAATCCAGGTAGGCAGAAATGGCATATGTCCTTGCTCTTCTAGCAAAACAGAAAAATATTAAAACATAATTTGTTTGTATATATAAAATACAGGAAATAATCATCTATATAGTAGTTGAACTGATAAAAGTTTCAAATTTGGTTCCCATACAAAATGAGCAAGGAGAAGTCATTTTGTGCTGTGAACTCTCGATTAGATAACAGGCACAACTTGAGAAACGGTTTAAAAGTCTTTATTTTCCGTGGAGCGGAAATAACTTATTTTCATCCAGATGGTTAGGAGTCTCTTTGAGTGTTACTAAGTGTTTTTTTTTTAAGATCATCAAGTATTTTTTTCAGAAGACCTGATGATTAGTTCTGTGACTCAAATGTAATGGTAATCATGAGGCACCAACTGGGACTCGTGCTGTTATGGGAATCACTGACACCAATTAAGTGAGATTTAACAATTACTTGCAATTGATATCAGTTATATCAGTGCTAAATAGGTTTGTTCGGTGATTCTCCTCCAGAATCTTTTTTCATATTTACTTTTCAAGACTTATCGTTTACCTTTGGTAAACACGAGCTGTTTTGTGTAATTAATGTTCATGTTTGTTGAAATTGTCTTCTGTTCTTTATTTTTCAGACAATTGACTAATTTTCCTGACAAAAAATATATAACACTGAAGCTTGTAATGGCCTCTGAAGATAGGTCTTAGGTCAGGATAGGATAGTGACCTAAATAAAAGACACACTATTTTATGTATTACAAAACTTTGGCTTACTCTTAAAAACTAACCTATGACCAAAGAACACTGTGTTTTACCTTCTCAGTGGTGTCTATGGAAGGCTAACGTGGCAGGAAAGGGATTTAGAACTGCAGGATATTTGACAAAACGATTTATGTGTGGGTTATTTTACACAACATACCAGTATTATGTAATTATTCCAATGCATTTTAAGATTGGTCTATCCTGAGTTTCTTAATGGAGTAGGAACATAAGGAGATGAAGTGCACATATCAGGGTACATCATTAATATTCATCACTGTCAGCTTGTTCACTTGTCAGTAGGATGCAGGAAAACAAGCCATCAAGTAATGAATAGATACTCATCCAAACTCTATGGCAGTCACATTTTTTAGCTGCATTCTCAAAACCACAAAGTGTTTCTCTTGAATTCACAAGTAGTTGTTAAATGAGTTCATCATTTTTTGTATTAAACACTGCCAACACATTTGCCAACATTCTTTTCTTATATTTTGAAGTTATTATTAAAAATAAATGTATTCAGAAAGAAACCCCATTTCTGGATCTTTTGTTTTAGATTTGTTTTTACTCAGCTGCAACAATAGTGATCAAGTGTTCAATTATTAAAGCAACATTAACCGTTTTACAAGAGCAAAATATTCACATATGTACATGGTGTCAAGTGACTGTTCAAGAATGTATTCCTCTCTATACAGTCATAGTTATAAGGAGAAAAGCCAAAACAAATGTACAGATTTTCTTATGTAGAAGCCACTAAGAGGCACTCGTGTCACTTTTTCCAGCAGGCGCACTTGGTATTTAAGTCTTCTCACTGTCAACACGGGGACTCTCATCCACATCATTGTTTTTCTGAAATAGCTCTGTATCATTTATTTCCCGATGGGGACTTGTTGCAGTGAGATTCTCCATGGTCTCCTCCTTTGACTCTCGCTCCTTTTCAGACTCACCAGATGTGCCTGTCTCTTCAGGCAAATGGTTTTTCTTCTTGTGCTTCTTCTTGTTCTTTTTCTTGCTCTTTTTGGACTGTTTGTGGTGGCGGCGTGTGTTGAGATCATCATTACAGGTTTTCCCATTTCTATCTGGTTTCTTGGGGCTCCTTTCTCTACTTTGCTTCTTTCTTTCCCCTTCTCTGCTTGAGCTTCTTGACCTTTCTCTGGCTTTTCCATAAGTGTCTGTGTCTTTGTCTCTACTGTCTCTCTCTTCACTTCTATTCCTAAACTTGTGCTCCCTGTCTTTTTCTCTACTCCTGTTTCTCAGCTTGTCTTGCTCTCGGTCTCTACTTAAACTCCTCGACCTGTCCCTACTTCTGCTCATATACCAGTTGTTCCTCCTGTCACTGTGTTTGGATCTGGAAGACCACTTGTCCTCTCTATGCTGGTGGGAGGCCCTGCTCTCTCGACTCCTCTCTCTGCTCGTGCTCCTCCGCCTGTTGCCCTCTCGTCTGCAGTGTGATCTCTCAGATCTCGGCGGGCTCCTGCTGCAGTGACGTTGCCTCCACGATCGGTCTCCGTATCGCTCTGATTGCCACCCGTCTCTGCGACTCCCCCTGACGCTGCGGTCTGGTGACATATGTAGGTCTCTGTCAGCCTCCCAGAATTCATTGCCAGGGTTTCGAAATACATGTAGGAAGTTACAGTGCTTCCCTTTGGGGCACTTCTGTCTGTCAAACAATCCTGAGAGGAAAAACAAACACAGGCAAGATAGTAAATACACTGAACTGAATATTGTGTGACATTACTGTGAAGTAATGTAGTACGTAACTCACCACATATAGCGTTCTTCCACCGTGTTACAGGACATAACTCACAATGAAGCTGCCGGCCTGCGTACCACCTCCCATTGAACTTGATTAAGGCCTCTTTACACTGCTCCTCACTGGACATTCAAGAAAGACAATAGAACACAGGATGAAGAGTTTTATCCAAACATTCAAACACGTACAGTTTATTTACTTGGAAAAAGTCATGAAGCAGTTGTGTGACGACTTACGTGTCAAACTGAATGTAAACATTTCCTCTCAGGTGTGGTTCGTAATTGCAGCTGACCTAGAGTAAAGGTAGAAATGAAACCAAATATGTATTTTTAGTGGAAATAATTAGATCACCCATCAAGTGAATGAATAGTGAAGTATTCAGAGGAAAAACATCTTCAGTTCTTACGGACATCAGTAAAAGATCTAGTGACACATTATGCAGAGTATTTCATTCCCAATACATTAGAATTTTACTTCCCAGATAAAAGAAAGAAAAATTTTACTTTATATTGACTTCCTTTAACTGATAAAGCATCTTAAATGAGTGTCAAGACATCTATAAGACATATACAGTCAGTCCAGTTGCCTTTGACTTGGTACTTCAAGACTTATTTGACATACTATTACACACATTAGGAAATCAGATTCCAAGAGAAATCAGTAACTGAAATCATGACTTACTTAAAGTAAGTGTATTAGTGATACAATAGGCTCTTTAATGAGAGCATTTTTTCTCTTACGGCGCAAATGAGTGAAACTGTCAAATGGTGCCAAATTAATCTGGCTTCTAGAGCTTACTTTGTGTTAGTTTAAGTTTCAAGTCAGACTTTGAATAAAATTAATTTGAAAACAAAAGGCATCAGTTTGTGTAATGACATTTCCTTTCATCCTGCCGCACTGCTGGCACAGAAAGACTGTGTTACCCATGTGAAGTCTTTGTCATGCACGTGTACATGTGAAATGCAGGTTAGAAACTTGTTTACGTATACATGGCTAAGAAATCTAGCTGGGGAAATCTGGTTTTCTGGTAATTCAGGTACTTAAGTGAATGTAAACACACTGACTGTCCTGATCTAATCATACCTTGAATTGCACCACCTTGCCAACACTCTTTAACTCCGGCAGGACATCATGGTAGAACTCGAGGAAAGATTCCTGCAGCTCCTCCTCGCTGTGTTCCAACCAAGCATCAATGTCGTAATCATCGCGACGTGACTCCTCCATGCCAAACGTTATAAACATACCTCTGATCATCAGAGTCGGGCTGGCTGTGGGATAAACGTGCTTCCGAGAGCATCTAGACTCACAAAGACAGAAGAGAGGAGAATATATTCACAGAAAGGGGAAAAACTTCTTTAATGCGTCCCTACATCCAGTTCAACATCACAAGTCACGGCAAAATAGAAACAAATAGTACCTTTCCCCAAATCGACATGCTCCGGTCTTAAGGAAGAACGGACAGTTGGCTACGTCACGCTCAGTCCCAAAGTTCTCAGAGTTCTCCGTCACAGGAGCCTCAGGATTCATCCATGGTCCTCCATTATCTAGCTGGAAGTGAGAACGTTAACAAAAACATATACCATTTAGTTGGAATTTAAACTACAATGAAGTGTTACACTTCACAAATTATACACTCCATGTTCCTCTTAGCTTTGATTTTTTTACATGATCACAAAGACTTCTCATGGACTTAACTGTTTTACAGGTTTTTGTGCACTTTTGGTAACAGAGTGGTCACGGTAAGTCGCTCTTGATAGAAGTTAACACAATTGGTAAAATCCAAAGGTTAAATATGATCAATGCACAGGCAAGAAAAATACCAATATTGATATGTGACTGTTTGAAATGACATGATAGGCGATATATTGGCTTTAAACACATAACTAAACATTTTTGATGGAAATCTCTTTCATTTGGTTATTAAACGGTGAATAAAACATGTACTCAGTGGTACATTTTCCAGTTTAAAAAACAAAATTGTCCTGGTGAAAAATGTAATAGACACACTATTAAAAATATATATATATATATACCTGATTTTCAGCTTCATCCAACATTTTCTGAACAGCCTCCTACAAATGGTGTAAAGACATGGCTGGTGAAAATGTGTAGAGGTCAACATACTGCAGCATATCTGTTACTGTGTGTTAAGACCACATTCACAAGGACTGACATTTCAAAAGTTCTGGATGTTTGGAAAGAAATTTCACAGGCTGTTTTTCACATAAAGTAAAAGATACATCCTTGTAGTGGGAGCTGAAGGGTTTTTCTCTTTGTGTGTATCTTAGTTAAGGAGTTGGATGGTTGCTTGTACCACTCAGTCAAGGAAAAAAAGAACCAGGTGCAAAGCATTAAACACATTTTATAAAACAAACACTCTGCTGGTAAGATATGTTTAACTTTATGATTATCTGAACCTTCCCTTTTTGGATGGATAATATAAATAGTCACAATAAAGTAGAAGAGGATATATTTCTTATTTTTTCTCTATCCTCCTGAGGCCCGTATCACCTCTCTGCCTCGCTTCTCCTGCTGCTTCTGCTCTTTTTCCTCTTGTTCTCTCCTCTGCTGGGCCTCCCATTCCTCTTTTATCATCCGCTGTGAACACAAAAAGACATGATAAAGCCAGTGAATATTAACATTTTATTTAGATTAATTGGCCAAAAAGGCTCGGGTACGCTGGTCAAAAGTGACGGCAGTAATCTCCTTTGTCAGGCTCCAATTATTTATGTAATTTGGGAAAAATTGTCACTGCCACGGTTATTGTTGTTGAAACTTGAACCCTCTCTGTTTATTGCATTAGTGAAGGGGATTACTTTTCTGTCTTTGGACACACACATAGGATCAAGTCATTGTTGGTTTTGGTCTTTCCATGGTATTTGAAAACATTCTAAAGAATATCTCCAGAATGAACACTTAAGTACAGTAAAGTACAGTAAAGCTTCTGTCTCCTGACCAGACCCTGAAACCCTACAGTACTTCATCAGTGTGAACACATACACATCTGTAATCTAGCTATGTTTACAAAGTGTAAATAAGTTTGTCTTGAATTGTCCACACTCCTTATGATGAATACAGACAGTAGATTACCTCCTCCTCCTCTTTCCTTTTCCTTGCAGCTTCCTCCCTCTCAGACCTCAGCCTGAATTCCTCCTGGGCAAGCCTCTCTTTTTCCAGCCACTCTTCGTGCAGCCGCAGTCTGAGAAAACAAGCCAGACACCACTCGGATACAATGACGATGAATAAAAACTGTGTAGGCAAGGTTTCTGTGCTGCCTATCAGTGACGGGCCAGCTGCAGGACAGCAGAGTGATGTTGACCTACCTTTCCTCCTCAGCAATATCATTATTCTCACTATCCTCATCATTTATTTCTTCATCGCCAGGCGCTCCATTTTTTAAACCTAAAACTGAGTGAATGTTGTGGTTAGTCTGGCTAAAGGTGCAGCTACAACTGTAGAAAACATTAAACCAACATGAAAGCTATCTTCATACCATTTCCTCTGGCTTGGGCAAGAGCTTGCCGTTTCCGTTTTCTTCTCTCTTTCCTCAGAGCAGCCCTGCGTTGCTTTTGACTATGGTGAAAAATATTACATTTGCCATTACAGTGGTGACCAGGGTGAAATCTGTGTAGTGAAACTAAAGAAAAGACATTATTTCACAGCAGACATTTTGAGGTGTAACAAAAAAGGTAAATTGCTGCATTACAATCTTTGTTGCCAAAGTCAAAATATCAGCTTTAAACGTAAAATATTAACTTGTCCTCCAAACAACTCAGTGAGTCAGTGATTGATAACAATGCAATCCAAACAGGAGTATGACAGACACACCTTGGGAACCACTGATGTGAGCATTCAGTCCTGCTCTAGGTGCAGTGCACCTTGAAGACAAAATACGGTCTTAAGTTACTGTGATAACGTTGTAGAGATGAATCAACAACTCCCTAACCCCTAATACAATCTCTACATATACTGGGCAGCGTGTTATTAGCTTAGCGTTAGAGTGCTGTAAAAGTTTAATATATGTAATACACTATAAAATACACGGTATATGTGCAAATTGCAGTATAGTCACATAATTAACAGACTGTTAAAACATCTTTCTGCAGTCTAAAACGTAGGCATTATCGGTAACTTAAAATGTAACGTTACTTTAGCTTTAAAAACGTATGTTAGCAGTTAGCTTACTAGCTATCACAGGACTAACGTTATCACATTGCATTTACGACACTGTAATAGCGTTTATTATGTTTATTGTGCTATTGTGGTCCACCACCCAGACATTAGTGGATCATCAAGTTACTACATGACTTAAAGAGAGATACATACCTTAACACGGGAGCAAAACTCAGTGGAGTTGATGTTGCCATCACAGTCAACGATAGCTAACGCTAGCTAGTTACTTAGCTCGGCTACTATTAGCATGTCAACGACTTTTAGCCTCGTTATTTCTTCCCATCCGCGTTAAAACAAATATTAGGCTAAATGTTCTCTTAATTGACAAGATATTTTCTAAGAGAGCTTGGTTTGTCAGAGTACTGACATAAGTGAATAATTTCTGTTTGCCGTGAACCTTAGTTAGCTGCATGCGGATTTGTTAGCAGAAGCGGTACTGTGGAAACAAAATACTTCCGGGTTAAAACACAAAATACAGTTTTTCCTATTTGAGTAAAATTTAGAATTTGAGTATATTTTTGTTTTATCTTGTGTGCTCAAAAATAAAATTCATAGTAAACGTTCAGATAGTTTTGTACAAGCCAGGGGATAAAAGCTCCTTTTAAGTTAGGCTTAATTGTCCATTCAAATTAAACCAAATGTATCAAAAATCGTTGTTCATTACTTTTAACATCTTTATTGAATAACTTTACATCAAATAAATTGATTTGCACTTTAGATAGCGACTACATTCCTATTGATAAAATACAGTATATGGTGAAAAAATATGTCAACAAGAAAGTAGTTTTTGTAACCAAAAAACTTACCAAAAGTTTTGGCCAATTATTTAAATCCCCCCCACACAAGTCTTAAAATAGGAAAGCATCTGTACTGTAACATTGTTTGTGACTTCCTGGGCTTGCTAGTGGATTGCACACACAAACACACTTTATGTTCACATTTCAACACAGATGCACTCTAAAAACTCTGAGTATTTTGTCATGTTTCCAATACTGCCACTCAGCAGGTGGCAGCTCCCTCTCCAAAAATAGCAACTGCTAATAACACAGAGCAGTACTTTGCAAGTCCTTTTATTTAGGCACCCTTGATATCCCTGGCACTCTCTCTCTCCCTGCCACTCTCTGTCATTCAATCTTTTTATCTGGCGTTGGTCTGAGGAAGAAGGCAGGCCTGGAACAGCAGCGGTAGCAGAGAGCCTGAGGCACCACAGCATAAAGGACATTGATCAGCAAGAAGACAGGCTGACTGTCAGCAGGCACTCTGTAAGAGAACGGCGTCCGTGTGTGAAGAGACGCACCGATATGAGAGAACTGGGCCTGTGAAGTGAAGCAGAGAGGGGGAAATGGGAAAATGACAATGGTGACTAAAAGCTTCACAGTTAGTTTATTCACACTAACAGGAACATTGTTTTTCTCACTTACTCATAAAGATTTTGCATAGCATCTTGCACAATACAACTGCATGAAGATGATGTCTCTCTGATATGTGGAAAAAAAGTCCACATATGAGGATACATTTTTCATGAAGGAAAAACACAATCTCTTACACACCCTTAAATTTCACCGCACTTAGATGTTTAGTGCCAAGGCATATTTGTTTCCAGGTGCAGTAGTCCACCTCAATGAAGTTAATTTTTAGTTATAATTTCCCTGATTCATGTAATAATAATAATAATAATCCTTATTTGTAGAGCACTTTTCAAAAACAAGTTACAAAGTGCTTTAACAAGTGTAACGACAATAATACCCAAGAGACAATAATACAAAAAACAATACAAGATAAAAGCATGAAAACATTGAGAAGACTAAAATACAGATAAATATAAAATTAGTAAAATACAATAAAATAAAGTCAAATAAGATCGGGAAAGGCTCTCCTATAAAAGTATGTTTTAAGAAGGGACTTAAAAGAGTTCACTGACTCAGCTGACCTGATTTCCTCGGGCAGGCTGTTCCAGAGCCTCAGGGCCCTGACAGCAAACGCTCTGTCCCCTTTAGTTTTCAGTCGAGACTCTGGAACAGACAACAGACCTCTGCCCGAGGATCTCAAGGTACGTGCTGGTGTGTATGGAACTAAAAGGTCAGAAATATAACAAGGCGAGAGGCCATGAAGAGCTTTAAAAGTGATCAATAAAATTTTAAAGTCAATTCTAAAACATACTGGGAGCCAGTGTAATGAAGCTAAAATAGGAGTAATGTGGTCATATTTCTTTGTTCTGGTTAAAAGCCTGGCAGCTGAGTTCTGGACAGTCTGGAGTCGATCAATAGATTTTTGGGTTAAACAGGTGAAAAGGCTGTTGCAATAATCCAGGCGTGATGAGATGAAGGCGTGTAAAATGGTCTCAGTGTCCTTAAAAGTTAACATAGATCGAATTTTAGCTATATTTCTAAGTTGATAAAAACATGATTGAACAAGCTTTGTGGTGTGCTGCTCGAAATTTAAATTACTATCAAACCAAACACCAAGGTTCTTTGCCACAGGCTTAATGTGATTTACTAGCAAACCAGCAGATGGCAGTATTTGATTTGCCATCTGCTGGGACCAGGATTTCTGTTTTGTCTGAGTTCAGCTGGAGGAAATTATTTGACATCCATTTTTTAACTTCACAAAGGCAATTGTTAAGTGAACTCAGCATTCCAGGGTATGTGGATCTGTGGCAAGTATATTTGTGTGTCAGCATAAATATGAAAAGAAATGCCATGTTTATGGATAATATGTCCAAGGGGAAGCAGATACAAGGAAAACAAATGGGTCCTAAGACCAAGAGGACCAAAAAATGTATCATGTCATGCAGCCATATTGCATTCTTGTCTAATGAGATATTTTGTGGAGTTCGCTTTATTTCTCCCTGCGTTCTTGTGTTAAACATCAGTGAAAAACTTGTAAAACCAGGAGTCAATCCTCTGATACCAAATCCTGGATGCTTGCTGAAAAAAGTGCACCATCACATTCCTTTGTAGCAATGTTTGAGATATCTTGACAACATTTTACAGATCACATAAAGGAATAATTAAAAGAAAACATAAGTAAAACATCAAAATGAGCTCAGGGAGCAACTGTTTTAGGGTGGATTATTCCTTTAATGGACTGATGATCCATAAAACAAATTCTGATATTGCCACTCATTCTGAGATATGTTTTTCAACCTGACAGACTCCTGCCAGTAACCTATTAATAGAAAGCGATTGAAAAAACCCACAGGACATGCCTCATAGCAACCACAGCTGTCAGAGCATCACCTTGCCTATTTATAGTGTGGCAGAACAGCTGACATTTAAGTGAATACAACCATTCCTCTTGGTCTGAAGTAAGCTCCTGCCCTTATCCCACCGATGAGTGACGCGTCAGCCTGCAGCTCAAACACAACAGCTGCTTTGTATGGTTGCAATGTGATTGGCTCACTAGCTTCTCCCATCACTCTTCAGTTTCCATCTTTAGATGTGAACAGATACAGTAGTGTATTTTGTGCTGATTCAGACCATATCTGTTAATGCAGATCCACTGGTGTTTGACTGCACTGAAGAATAACTTCAACAGAGACCAATCTGCAATCAGTGTGCTGGACTGTTTCTTGTTTTCATTTTTCTCTTAGTTGTCATACTATGTCAGCTGTTTATTGCTGCTGTTCGGCTGGTTGTCTTTTACTATTATTATTATTTTTATTGTTTGTTTTTGTTTGTGTTTGTTTGTTGTTGTTTTTCTCCTCCCCAAGCCCCCCTCTCTGTTCTATTGCAGGTTTCGTTGCTTTCTGCAATTGGTGTTTCCCACTGCTATTCCCTGTTGTCCCCACCTTCCATCCCCCTTCTCTTGCAGGTCTTGTCCTTTCTCTGTGCTGCCTGTTTGTGCCCCCCTATCCCCGTGTCTGCCCCCCTGTCCGGCCCGGTGACAAATCAATACATAATTAAATAAATAATAAAACAGACAAAGGAGTATATTAATACTCTCTTGTTAAAGTAAAATCTGTCTGGCACAATATGGTATCCAGGCCATCATACTCTACACCAGGCTGCTGGGCAGGACAGGTTTAAAAAAAGAAAAAAGAAAAAAGTCATGAGCGAGCATAATCCGAAACACAACCACTATCATACAGAAATCCTGCAATAAATGCAGGAACACCAAAAAACAAACAAAAAAAAAAAAAAAAAACAATCTGCAATCATTATATAGACAAGAGCATTCGGGAAGTGCATACACTTGGCCAGATGGCCACTGTCAGTCGAGCATTGCCTAATCCTCCTTAGAATGATGATGTCATGTAGGTGGGAAAAGGGTTTACACAACGCAACTGTTCCATATAGACGACCTTTGATGAAAACCACTACAAGGTCTGGATAATTTACCCTGGCAATTATTTCGTCTATAAAGAGAGTTAGAGTCTAATGGATCAGTGTTATCTTCTCTGTATCTTGGTAATATATTGTAAAATTAAAGATATTGTCTATAGGTTTGGTGTCCTAGTTTAAATGTAAAGAAATTCTGCTGAAATGAACTCAGATAAATATACAGGTTTAGTACAGAAAAGTATAATAATAATAATGAATAATTAATTAACAAAGCTACAATGTGTTTTACAGAACAGAAAATGACATCATAAGACATAAAATAATAAACAAAAGTATATAAAATTATGTGTGAGTGAAAAGGTAAAATCAAAGGACAAATTCAATATTCACAGAAGCTTTCTTAGAAAGAGGAGATTTGGATCAAGTTATTTTATGCTGCGTTCATGTCACATGGAATGGATGGTAAAGAGAAAAATTCATCATCATTGGAGAACTCAAGATGGTTGTATGTTTATAGAGTTGGTTGTGTGAGTCTAGTCAAGTCAAGTTTAGTTATAAAGCACATTTGAAAAAAAACAGAGTTGACCAAAGTGCTGGAAAAGTTATACAGAAGACATAAAAAATAAAACCAGATAAAATTAAAACAGGCCAAACAATTAATGCCATACAGTAATAAGACAGAAAAACAACACAGTTAGATACAAAATAGATAAATAAGGGTTTGATTACATTGAACGACAGATTTTGGCTGAAGAGAGGCGTCTGATTTTCAGGCACTTCTGTATTATAAATTGCCAAGATGGATATATTACAACTCAGATGTTGAAGTGAACACTATTTACAATTTGGAAACAGGTAATTACGGCAACCCTCATATGAAATGAACGCGGTACACCTCTTATCTGGACTGTATGCTTGATTGACATCTCTAGACTCTCCGATTTGTTTTGTTGCACTTGTTAAGATGCAGTAAGACAGGCTTCACCTTTAACCTGAACAGAGGTCTAATCAGCCAGATTATGTGAATACACTTGCGTAGTAGTGCAGGATCTTTAACAGCAATGGCTTAGTTATCCTAAGAGAGTTATCCAAGAGCCAGGAATAACCACCAGGATGTACCTGTGCCAATGCTGCTGAGTGTACACGAGTCAGGTCTGGCATCCACTCACATCCTGGGACCATCAGCCCATAGATAGTAATGATGTAGTACGGCCCGGAGTACAGCATGCTCACCAGCATCTGAAAAACATGGATACAATCTACTGCTTCAGATATTTGTGTAATGGCAGTGTTAGGATGAGAGTTTGGTGTTTATGTCACTGAGTTACCTGTACTTTAGAATAGGCTGAAGGGTCTTTCAGGTAAGGCTCATACTGTTGTGCGTAGTCTTGACACCATTTGCTGGAACAGTCCAGGACAATCTAAAACACAAACAATTTAAAATACAGATGCACTCAACATAAAGAAATCATTCTTGCAATGTGTATGCATTGGGCAGTTGATCATCTTAGGGTTTCTTACCAGGCCTCTGAAGACACAGAAAGCAAAAGCAGGGATGAGGTAGATAATGAACAGTAGGTCTAGAGGTCTTTGGCGTAAACTTTTTCCCTCAGCCTCCTGCATGCTCTAAGAAAAGGCAACAATGTGATGGTCAAACTGTTGTTTTCTTTGGCTCTTTAGAATCTACATTGCATCTTCCTATAGCCACACAATCTATTTAGCAGTACAAGTGACTAATTGTACTGTAATGGACTGGAAAAATAGGCAAGTACTTAGCACACATTGTCTGCTTACAACTCCAAGGACTGAACTTGGCCTCTGACCTACTGTGTAGCACTTTCAGTGTATACGTCCTTGGCAGTTCCCATTTTTTGAGTGTGTGTGTGTGTGTGCATTTAATCACCTCTTGTATAGCAAAAAAAGCATCACACCTTTCACTTCACTTTAATTTTTGATTAATGAAAAGCTAAGTCAAAATACAATATTGAAAAAAAAAATTTTGGTTCAATTCTGGTTCAATCATATTCTTTTTTTTAATAACTGCCAGTTTTGATCCTGACTTACTGTAAACTGAACGTCCCGTGCGGCAGGCTGGCTGAAGATGCGAAAGCAGGCCCAGACAGACACTGAGATATATAGCATGTGGAGGAGGAAGAGAGGACTAACATGCGTCCCATATTTCCCTTGGAAAAGACAGAACAAGATAATATCTCACAGACACAAACCAAAGCATTAAAAGTAGCAGTATTTACAGTAAAATGTGCATGTGGGAGGTTACAGGGGCCACCCTAAACTAGCTATCTGAAAACATTCCATTATTTTTAGTGTACTTACCCACAACATTCCCAAGAATGTAGACTATGGCATGCATAAGAAAAGATCCCACCCAGTAGAGTCCAATGGCTCGGTAATTGTCCCTGTGCAAACCACGTAAAACTGCCATTGTCAAACCCAGATGAACACATTACACTTCCAAATACAGAGATGGATGGGATAGGTGGTAGGTGAACAATGCAGCTCTTACCCCCAAGTAATCGCAGCAATCATGAGCAGATACATGAGATAGTGCACACAGCCATCCCAATAGGAGATCATGTGCCCATAAGCTGTTTTAATATGTGGATCTGCCTGAAACACAGCACACGCTTATCAGTCAAAAAAATGCACAGGGGTGCATATGGTCAACACCCAAATAGGAATAGAAAACAATACTTGCCTCTCTGAGGTAAAATGTCACAAATCCATCAATGATGTTGTCCTGCTCCAGCCCGATGATCAGATTTACCACACTGAGGAATGCATACACTGCATACACTGGACAGATAGATGCATGCATTCAATTAATTTCAATTGGGTGACAAAACCACTGCAAACACTTTATGTTTACTGCAAACACTTTAAGTTTACTAAACATTTCTATCTCACATGGATACAATGCAAATATAATGTACTGTGCATCACTTTTATATTATTTTTATATTTTATATTATTCATTTAACAGCTCAAAATTGTATAACTAAAACACTACACACACATAATAACTTCTATTCATCATACATATAGCTTGATTTAAAAGTCAGACAGAACCCAAAGACTGCAAAACCATGCATTTGTGAATTCATACCATAGAAAAAAGGATCTACTGGGGCCTTCTTCTTGAGCATAAAACGGGCTGAAATGGCCAGGATGAGGACTGTTGTACATCCAGCGAATAAGAAAGCTTCAGCACTGAACCAGTGTAAAAAATATATATATTTGAAAAAAAATCTTTCAAATAATGCTGGTGACTGCTCCATTGGTGGTAACTTAACAGTTGTTTCATCAGCAGTAAAAAATTGAGAGGCACATTCAAAAATTAAAAGATGTAGGCCTATTCTTACTCACCTGTTGCTGTAAATGAGGGAATTAAATAAATAGCAGATGGGGATGGACATCAAGGAGAGCACAAACACCCCTGTTCCTGCAGACGCGCTCATTGCGGTCCGGGTTTGACCGATTTATCTTGTAAGAGAATTAAGAATTACAGATTATTCAGCCGCAACTGTTATGTTTAGTCTGTGAGTCATATTCCAAGGAATGAGGTAGCCTCGCGGTGTGTATAACAATGTAGCCTAAACAAGCACAAACTTGCAGTTTAGCTACCTCTAAATATGTCTGTCTTGTTTTTCTGTCTTTTTCGCGTGCTCTCTCTCTCCTTCTCCCTCTCTCTCTTCCCCCGTCTCTCTCTCTCTGTCCCTCCCTCTCTCGCTCTCTCTCGCTCTCTCCCTATACAATTCGTTCTTGAGTTGTAGTGTTTAGCTAAATAATCATAATTTGTTTATGATTATTACTATTATCTATAATTAAGCTAAAAAGGTTTGTTTATATTCTGCTTGTGAAAGTGCAGACTCTGACATCTAGCGGCCGATTAGAAAACTTGTAGCAGGCAGCAGGATATATATTTTATTTAATAACAAATGTGCTTTATACAAGGCAATGCAGCCAGGTAATATGAAACACTAAATGAACTTAATTATACAAATAATTAATAAACATGTTTATAAATGTATAGCTACATGTATTTGATACAGGATGTAAATATGCTTATTTATGTTTATTCACTGATTTATAAATAGATGAAAAAGTGGCTTATAATGACATTATGATGCTATTATGACATTTTGTAACACCCCCAACACATTTTGTCATTTTAATTTAATCTTTATATATATATATATTGTGTTTGTTTTATATCATTTGGGCTACTTCCTAACTTAAAAAGTTGATTGTTAAATTTTGTTCTTCAAAAGTTCAAAACCCGATATCGATGTGATGTATTCTTCTGAAACTGATTCTCGTTTATTTTGAACATACAGACCATCATATGTTCAAAATATTTTTATATTAATGAAGGCATTTTTTCTTTCAAATATATTGTAGGCCTATTTGTTTTCTATCTGTGTAATTATTAAGAGAGTGATACTGTCTTTCCTTATAATTTAATAATACCATTGAGGAAAAATGTACTGTAAATGTTAATCTACTAATAAAAACAAACTTGGAACACTTGAAGGAAATGGGACATTATAGTGCCACTACCACATCCTCCTTAAATGAGTTAGAAATACACGTGTAATATCACATCTTTCCCCTCGATCCTTTTCCTTTTATTTCTCTTTTATTTGTTAATGCCATTTTATTTTAATTTCATATATGGCCTATTGCACTTATTGCTTGTTTCCTTGTCGTGCCACTGCTGTCTTGTTGGTTTGCTACTCTTCAATTCAGCAATAAAGGTTAATGGGAAAAAAACGTATTTTCAACAAAGTCTGCGCCTGCGTCATTTCTGGAGAGACGCAAGCTAGCAGGTAACTAGCATGGATGTAAAGCTAAACATCTAAGAGCGATGGCGTCCGCAGCGATGGATACCACGTAAATAACAACACATACAGTACAACGGTCAGTGTATGTTCGCGTGTCATTAACGATTCGTTGTAGAGGCTGAATAGGAAATATAAGTGTGTCTTCATGGCGACCGGGAGCGGCGGCAGCGGCTTAGCGTCAAACCATGACGGTCAGGAGGCAGCGTCCAACTCGGCTCAGTCTGGAGCCGCTGCGGTGGTCTCCAACTTGCCAGCCTCCGGTCCTGGCCGGTCTGCCTCCCCGCCTGTACTCGGCCTTCACCGGGAGCCCATGTACAACTGGCAGGCGACCAAGAGCTCCCTGAAGGAGCGCTTCGCCTTCCTCTTCAACAACGAGCTGCTCAGCGACGTCAGGTTCATCGTGGGGAAGGGCAGACAGGCCCAGAGGATACCGGCCCATAAATTCGTCCTGGCCGCTGGAAGTGCCGTTTTTGATGCCATGTTCAACGGAGGGATGGCCACAACCTCGACTGAAATAGAGCTGCCTGATGTGGAGCCTGCAGCCTTCCTCGCCTTGCTCAGGTATGACAGGTGTTTACCATGTACGGGCCAAATTAAAGCCCATTTAGCAGTTAATCTGAATGCCATGCAAACTTCAATTTCAGTCACATTTGAAGGAGGATGTAGTTTACTTATTGCACTGCACACTGGCAATAACTAAATGGGAACAGTGACAGTGGGTACATTTAATATTATAACTCTCAGACCATTATAGGCCCTCCTGTATATTGAAAAGCATAAGCTCAGTGTAGTAACATATACTGCAGAGCTGAAACAACTAGTTGAACAACTTGATTTGTTCAACAACAAAAGCTAATCTGCACACAATTTGACAACCAATTAATTGTTAAAGGGATTTATTTCAAGTTAAAATGACTTGCAACTTTTCTTGTGATAGTGATTGTGTCTGATGTGATAGTAAACTCAATATCTTTAGGTTTTGGACAGTTGGTTGGACAAAACAAGCAATTTGAAGACTTCACCTTGGGCCATTGGACGTTAAGACGGGCATTTTTCACTATTTGTTGTAAGTCGTAGACCAAACGTATAATAGTTTTAAGGAAGAAAGAATCAGCAGGTAAATCAACAATGAATATGCCTGAACAGTGGCTCACTAGAAAGATCTTTAATTGGGGAATTGAGTGTGGACTTCCTGGGATAAGTGAGGGGAAAGCTTTATTTGGTATGATGCTTTTATTTAATTTTTTTTAAAAACCGATTACAGCACAATTTTCGTGATACTCAGCACAAATTGTTCGTGGTGGTGCAGAAAGAAACATGGTCTGCTGATGTTTGATGCAAGCCTAAATTAAGAACATCTTGTCGGATGAAAAACAACTACTGCGTGTGGAGCCTCATGTGAACCAGAATTTAACCAAAACTTAAAGATCTCGTTCAGTTACGTTCAGGTACATTAGTAGAAACATTAGAGAAAGAGGCAGGTTTCCTGGTCTTGCAAAGAAGAGAAAAAAACTTTGGTTGGTAGGGGGATTGAGGTAAGACTGAAGATGAAGTCTATTTTATGTTTTAAGGCCCATTATATGATGAGTTAAGGACAAGTAAAATGTCCTTTTAATATGTGATGAGTTCTTCTGGACGGGAACCTTTTGTGTGGTGATTTTATTTGTAGAGCATGGGACAGGAGAACGAGTTCTTTGTTTGCAATTTAATGTATAAAAGGAAGTTATGTTCATGTCTGATAATGTATCACTACTGCAACAGTTTTCTTATTGCAGTCCTAATACACTCATACTATAATACATTCAGAATAGTTTTCACAAAGGCTTTTAGAGTTGGGCACCCTTTTGAAATGTATGATAGAAGTACATACAATACCTGACACCAGATATAAAAGCACATTTCTCTTTAAATCCCGATTTTCTGATTCAAAAAAAGTGGTAAAAAACTCATGTTAAATGTTTTGTAGACGAGCATCTGTACAAGAGCACCGCCCAAGCAAATACAGTCTGAAATGGGCAAAATGTAAATCAGGTACTGTTTGATAAGAGGGGAAGACTATAAATCTGATCAGACATTTGATGCCAGCATTCGTACAAAGAAGTACTGCGGTTTGGTAGTGCTTTTTAAAGAACACTGTCTATTTTGACACCACCTACATACTGCAAATTCATTTCTGTCTTAAGATTAAGATAAAATGTGATGGCTAAAGTTGTCCGAATTACACTGAAGATAACAGCATGAATACCTGACTGACCACATACATTGTTCCGTTTCCTCTGTACAGGTTTCTGTATTCTGACGAGGTCCACATTGGTCCAGAGACTGTGATGACGACTCTGTATACAGCTAAGAAGTACGCGGTCCCTGCTCTGGAGGGTCACTGTGTGGAGTTCCTCACCAAGCACCTCAGAGCCGACAACGCATTCATGCTACTCACTCAGGTTATTGTCACGCACATCTACTGTAGTACATACCTGACATTTAAGCTGTCTGGCAAACAACTTTCAGTGGACCGTTGGTTTGCCACCTTGGATGTCACTTTATCGAAATGACAAAATTCATACTTATCTCGTTATCCTACGATCAGTTTTTATGCATTCAGAAACTTTTGGTTTTAATGTGCTGATGTTTTGAGTTATCTGTCTCTGTAAATTTTAGACGGTAGTCAAAGCAAAATGGAATGTCTTTCTAGAAATTGTGCAGCGGTGATCTGGATAATTCATGATATCCCTGTGATCAATTTTCACTGGATCTGCTTTCTACAAAATAAACAGTCCCAATAAAAACCATTAACATTGATTTCTTGTCATTATCCAGAGCATCTGGGACATTCTTTCTGGAAACACACATTGCTGTTTGGATGGTTTTTCATATGTATATTTTGATGCTTTGAGCACCACAAATAAAATGCAATTTAACCTTCACTGTATTGGAATGGCGGCAGAATTTTGCGATTGTGTCCTAATCTCAGCACAGAAAACCAAAACCCACTTCTTGGCCAGACAACACCAGGAGAAAGTGAGAAAATGTGTTGATAGTATTTTAGGTGACATCACTCTTTAAGGCACCAAAATAAGATCATTTTAAAGCAGGACAGTAATAGATGGTTTCAATAACAGCTGGTCTGATTGTAAGGCTGTCTTCCGGGGCAATATATGAAATAATGTAATAACATTGTTCTTTCTGTCTACTGCAAACTGTCTTGTATCCACACCAGACCATCTTCCAACCATCAACGGTTGCGTTTTTATGACATTAGCTGTTCTATTTTTGGTTTATGCTGCCGTTTGGTTGGGTTCAGCATTTTGTTTCCGCTGCTGGCTGCCTTTAGGCTGCATGTGTAGCCGCTTTCTGATCAAAAAACACTCCTTTTGTCCTGTCCAATATGGTAAAGGAGGAATAGAAATCTAAATAACCCTACAGAAAACAAGACAGACTCCAATCAGTCTACACCTAATTATCATTGTCATTGCTTGTTTACTCATTTTGATTTCATTAACATTTTATAAAGTTTGAAGGATATTTGTGCCGCTTGATTAGGATTTCCCAAATCATGGGAAGTCAAGATATGGGAAACTGCAGTATTTCGATAAAAATCTAATTTTTTCATTTCATTTTGCATCTTTATAATCTTGCACAATATTTAGTCAATTTTAAAAAAGCATTTACCTTTTCCACAGCTTTTTTTAAAATGCAGCAATTCTCCCTTTGTGCATGTAAAGTAAATGATCGGTCCCGACTAACAGACACTTAGATGGCTTCTTTTGTGCTTTGACTATAGGCAAGGTTATTTGATGAGCCTCAACTTGCCAGTCTCTGCTTAGACACCATAGACAAAAGCACTGCGGATGCAATAAATGCAGAGGGCTTTACTGACATCGACCTTGGTATGTGAGTCTTCTCGACAAAAATACTTCCTTTTCTACAGCATCTTCGGGGATGAGATGATGGCTATTCTGTGTTTTTGTGTATTTGTAGATACCTTATGTGCAGTGCTGCAAAGAGACACACTCAGCATCAGGGAGAACCGTCTGTTTGGGGCAGTGGTACGCTGGGCAGAGGCTGAGTGTTACAGACAACAGCTTCCCCCGACCTCGGAGAACAAACAGAAGGTTCTGGGGAAAGCCCTGCCGCTCATCCGCTTCCCACTCATGACTGTTGAGGAGTTTGCAGCAGGTAAACCTATCACAAAAATATAACTTGTTTCTCATGCTGCAGTGTCACTTTTTTTATTTTATTTCAACGCTATACTGACCAATACAAGCATTACTGAACATATTCATCATGTTCCTGATGTGTCCATACAACATAAACCACAGAAACCAGTTTGATATTCTTTCTTGTGCAACAGGGCCTGCCCAGTCTGGAATATTGTTCGATCGGGAGGTGGTAAATCTGTTTTTACACTTTACAGTAAACCCCAAACCACGGGTCGACTACATTGACAGGCCCCGCTGCTGCCTCAGGGGGGAGGAGTGCAGCATTAATAGATTCCAGCAGGTTGAGAGTCGATGGGGGTACAGTGGTACCAGCGACAGAATCAGGTGAGATGACAAACTTCAGCGGTCAGCTGTTAATCTGAGCAAACTGAATTTAAGTCGTTGGGGTTTTTTCTAATTTTCTCTCTGTCTTTCTCCCTCTATAGATTCAATGTTAACAGAAGAATATCCATAGTGGGTTTTGGCTTGTATGGTTCAATACATGGACCCACTGACTATCAGGTCAACATACAGGTAACTTTCTGCATTAAGGCTTTGAACATGACTTTAAATGAAAAAACTGCTAATATCATCAGTGTGTGTTTTGGGATAAAGAGTAATTTACATTTTCTGGTAGGGCTGGGTATAATTAAAAATTATTATATTAACATTGAGACAATACACCAGTTTAAATACCAATATAATCACACAAAATAAACTTCTTAAAAGTATAACGTTGTCTTAACAGCAGAAGCGCAAGAACCTTTTAAAAAAGCAAATTTATGTTTTAAATCAGAAACTGTCTGATCAAAAAAGTACATATCTGAGCAAGCATTTGATGCCACCTGAAACTTTTTGATACATTTTGTTCAGATATTGAGGTATTTAGGTTTGATCCTCAGCCCTGTTTTCTGGTGAATCCACTTTCCCTCATCCTGTATGTTGTGTAATTCCTCCTCAGTTAAAGATTTCCTGTATGTCCCACAATTAATTTGTACTACCTCAGAGAGTGTGAAGTGAGAACTTTTTGCATTCAGTTGTTGCTTACAAGTGAAGATCAGCGTGTAAAAGGTTTTTCAAACTGAGGAAAAGCACGACACCATTGTCTTGTAGCAGCATTGCATTATGAGCTGTAGAGACTGTTGTTGGTAGATAAATTGGTATCTCTGCCTTTCTTAAAGTGAATTTTTCCCTGTATGATCAAACTCAGTTTAAAGTGGCTGCGTTTACAGACACCACACACTGACACTTATTGTTTCTTTCAGCTACAACTGTTATGTTAAATTCAAATGTAGTTGTACTGGAAGAGATTAAGGCTGCTCCTGAAATTGTTCACCTATTCACTTTCACTATATGGGGAATTTTATGCAGAGCGTTGTGTACTGTATTACTGTCGGTTATCAAAAACTGTGTTATAACTCTAATTGGATAAGGCACAATGCATGATAAATTATTGTCCACATCTCAGATTTGTTCAATGATTCCAATATCAACTGTCTGCAATTTATAGAAATAAATTAAAAGCCTAAAATGTCACAGTACTTGATAAATGTGAAAATTAAAGTTTGATGATTTATGGGGCATCCCGGTAATCTAGGGCACTGCCACACTGACCATGTAAATCACAACATCCCCATGGGTTCAAGTAAGGCCAGGGACCTTTCTTGCTTATCATCCCACCTGTGTCTCACCTGATTTTCTGTCATTGCTTTACTGTTGACATTAAAACACAGATAAAAATGTTCCAGAAAATACCTGAATGAGTGAACGAGGGAATTATTTTGGACACAGCGCATCTCATGTTCACCACTTTTTACATTGCATTGTGCTAAAATTTGAGCCCACTAAAACGGTATAATTTAGTCAACACTAAAAAGGGACATAGTGGAACACATAGTGGATACTAAAATGATTGAGCGCAACCAGAAAAATAGACAACTAAACAGGTGAACACAGACACAAAAGGAAAGTACCCTCCCTGCTGTGTTTTAGTTGTTATAAAGTTGATTTTTCCTTGGCACCTTGTTATTTATTCACTAATGACATTATCCTGTTCTGTAGATCTTAGAGAGCGACAAACGCATTACACTGGGGCAGAACGACACAGGTTTCAGCTGTGACGGCACAGCAAACACGTTCAGAGTGATGTTCAAAGAGCCTGTGGAAATCCTACCCAATGTCAGCTACACTGCATGTGCCACCTTAAAGGTCAGTCTGAACTTGTTCTATTTAAAATATCTCTTAAATTGCATAAATTAACATGTTCTGTAGTTCCCCCTATTAGGATGCACCTAATCTTGCTTTGTAATTTTACACCTCAGGGCCCAGACTCCCATTATGGCACAAAAGGATTGAAGAAAGTGACCAAGGAATCAGCAACGGGGACCAAGACAACTTTTTTCTTTTTTAGCTCACCTGGAAATAACAATGGTACATCAGTGGAGGACGGCCAGATACCAGAGATCATATACCATACCTAGACGTAACACGGTGTCACGCAGGTACACTGAACCAGGGAGACCTCAGACTGCTGGGAAGACTGGACTGCTGGAGATATACGTAGTGCCTCATGATCCTTTTGAATAAAGAATGTGTGTTTGAGTGTGTATGTATGTGTGTATCTGTCTATACAATAGTGGTGTACAGACATGATCACAGCTCTGGTGTGGGGGGGATAAAAAAAAAAGCTTTTTGAGCATAATCATCAGTTGTAAATTATCTAAATACTGATGTCCTGTCTGTGTGTTGTTATCATTAAGCTGCCAGTGCAGGAGTTTATCCTGCACGAGTGTCAATTTTTGCTGATGCATTTACTGCAAGTATAACATTTGCATATTTTTTTTATTGTGCACTGTTATCATTTATTCAGCAGGTGTCTTAGAGTACTTTTGCATTGTATTAAGGATCCATGTGTGTTATGTAACTTTGCCAGTGGTACATGTTGTAATTTATGACTTCATGTTTGCTTATCACAACATTAAAATGTAAAACAACAAAAAAAACATTCTAGGACTTTTATGGCGAATTAAATGGAGGGGGTGGGTCTATTTTTAGCTTTTTGACACAAAAATGTGATCAAATTTGGTCTTCGGTAGATCATTTATGTATAGCTTATATAATTCCTCTTTCTGTCACTAGGTGCTGCCAGATACTCCACACAGCCAGCTAACAAACTGCTAAATGGATAAACTGGGAGGAGGAAGGAAGGGTAGATCAGCGGTTCCCAACTTGGGTGTTAAATCTGAGAGCTCAGCGGGATAGGAAAAGAAAGAACCATTTCTGCTACACAAGCATTTCATTTGCCTCTTAAGTTCTTTAATTATTAAAATTAAACAATCTGAGGGAGAAAGTTGGTTAAACTGCTGGAGTCAGATAAATGTACAGCCTTTACTGTAGGAAGGGTTTTTTTGATGGAACTGCTAAAACTAGACATTTGAAACATGAACCTCAACCAAACACTGATTTATTCTGTGGTCACAAAAAAATGTTGCTAAGCACTGGTTTAATCTTTACCGATGTGTTGTCTTTGAGAAGCTTGTCTAACTTGTTTTATCAAAAATATTTTGAAATGTAACTAGCTGTAAAATAAATGAAATGGATATGAATGTTTTTCACTGACATGTAGTAAATTATAAATTAGCAGAAAATAGAAACCCACAAGTGAAATTAGTATTTGGATATTTGACCTGATGAATAAAAACACTCACAACTTTAAAAATGTTCCTTAAGTAAATGTATTACAGTACTATAGTGTAGTATTAGTGCCTAACTGTACTAACTAACTACTAGAATTATCAATAGTGAAAGTTCTAAAAACAAATATGGTCAGAGCCCAAAGAGTACACAAAAACAGTTTGATTTATTTTCATATAAAGTAAGTCTTAATAAGTAAAGGTTTATTATTATGTACATTATCTACCTACAATATCACATGAGCAGCATGTTAATGTTGCAGCTGGTGCAGGGGTAGCTATTTGTAATTACTTTTTGTCATGTTGGGTAGCTCAATGTAAATTGATGTATAAACTGGTTTAATGTTTTGGATCTATAATGTAACTATAGTTGTCAAATATGGAGTGGAGTAAAAAGTACTTTATATGTCTGACAGTTTAAGTATAGACCAAAAGTTTAAATACTTATGTGCACATACTTCAAAATTTTACTTACATAGTGTGGAGTACTGAAAGTAAAAAGGTTGATGATCAATGATCTCTTCTCTCATACGCTATTGCACTAACATCACTGTTGCAATGTCCACAATTTTAAGAACAAGAACTAATGGAACAACTGAACAACAGACATTTAATTATATTAGAGTGCTGCAGTTTAATATCAGTTATAATTGATTAGAGTTTAAGATGCCAAAAAAAAGCAGCATAATTAGTAGCAGTATGTTGTCCCTAAAGCAATCTGTAACTTCAATAAATATAATAATAATAATCAGGATTGTCAGTGTAGCCTCAGTTGTGTCCTCCGTAATCCGGTTGCAAGTCTCAGTAATGCCAGATTATTTCTTGCTGGATGTGATCTGTTTTTATTCTGCCAGCAAGAATAAAATGAAGCCGTGCTGTCTGCCGAAAGCTGCGTCTACAGCACAGAGATGAAGTGCTCTTAAATTGCATAATCTGCACATTCATATGAGAAAGGCGGTGGAAACAAGGCCACTTTAGACGGCTGTGAGTGGGCTTTGACGAGGAGAGTGATCCATGGAGGCTGTCAGGTGAGTCACCAGGATCTGAGAGCTTCTCCCGCTGACTGCCCACTTAGACAGAAAGAACCAAGAAACTCAGTTTGAGACAGGTTTTCACCACCCACCAGACACAAACACTCAAAAACCAGGAGGACAAATAGACTACAGAACTAACAGTCCTGTGCTCTCACCTGTGTTGTGTAAAACAATGTTTCAAGGTCTTAGGGGACTATAAAAAAACAAGCTTGTAATGTATTCAGAGGTGGGGGGAAGTTTCCACTCATACTGAAGCATTAAAGAGGCAATTGAAGCTTATGGGGAATAACTTGAGCATGTGGATGATTTCTTACAGCTATTAGATTACAAATCCATGATAGTGATTTGTGATTTTCTGATGTGTGCGGTTGTATTTCTGTCTGTTTGGCTGTGTGTATGTGGGGTGGGTGGGTGGATAGCAGCAGAATGGGCTGTCTTTCTCATTTCTCATTCTACTTGAACACTAAGAGCATGGGAGATGATTTATTCCTCCGCTGTTTTTGACATCCTATGACATATGACTATACAGGACTCAAGTGTTGCAGAGCCAGAAAGTATATTTCCATAAGCAAACGAGAAATATTGTCTTAGCACAACCTGTTTCTCTATGAAGGCAAATTCTGTGGTCAAACTTCTTAGCGAACATCATATTAGAAGTGGCCTTGAAAGGAAAGTCATAAAGTCATTTATAGCCTGATTTATATTAGCCCGGTTTTCTTTTTTATAACGTTGTTTGTTGTATGTTGGGAAACCACAATGGAGTAATATGTATGATAATTTGATCATCTGAAAACAGTAATGCACCCAAGTGCCACAAAATGAGTAAATGACAAAAACAGATTATAGCAATGATTGAAAAGATGTAGGCTGAGGACAAAGCTCATTACACCTATCTTTCTCACAATACAAAAAGAGAACATTTATAAAGAACCTACACAATCCAGACAATGAATAAAAAGGTAGTTGTATGTGCACTGAGTGTGATGAATGAGATATAAAGCAAATGTATATTTGTCAATTACATTATTATTAAATAATCTTTTGAACTTGTCCTTTCCCTTAATTTTTTATATTTGACTTAATCCTCGATGATTGTAACTACTGCTGTGCAGATTTATTGTGAATCACCAAATAACTCAAATCAAACATGATGTTAGACAATTAAGATAAATAATCAAAATCTTGAGGGCAAGCTTGTTTGGGCTATAGGCTAGAAATACTGAAGTTTTTACAAACAAGCAAATCTTTATCCAAACCACTAAATTGGGTTTGATGGCTTCTAGGACATGTAAACTACAATTTCAGGGCCTATTTGTGTAACGATTGGGGGACCAGGGATGAGGCCCCAGATGTAGACAAACAAGCACACAGGCAAGCAGGTACAGTTAAAGTGACGGTTAGTGAACAGGATTACATTCAGCAACATGAAGGCGGTCAGAGATGGTGAACAAGTCCGTTAGGGTAAGGCAGGTTGGCAAGTCATGGACAGGCAGCTGGTCAAAACAGTGCAATATTACAGGATGACTATAAAAAAGTATTGAGGTAGGCCAGAGCAGGGAACAGTCAGGCAGAAGACTGATGAGGAAAATGGTTAAAATGAGGATCAGGTGTTGTGGGAAAAGTGGGAACATTTGAGGATATCTGGCGGACAGGTGGTGAAACGCAGGTCTGGAAAGTTCCTTGAAAAATGCAGGAGACTGAATGTGAGAAGTGTCTGAAGAGTGAGACAGAATGTGTCCTGAGAGTCACACAGTTGTGCAGAATCATGCATGAAATTGACTTAAAAATACATAAACTGAAGTACTTTGGGGTCGCTTAGACATAGGTGTGTCAGTCATTGCCTGTCTTCTACCCTTTTCATGACTTAAAAGGGCACTACACCAATTTCGAATTGCTCTCCAATAACATTATCATGATGGACAGTTTTTAAAAGAAGTATCAAAATTGATGCAGCAGAAATAGAAATATTGTTTTTTATTCCATGACTTCTTCCTTGTCAAAACTTGCCGCCTACAGTGCCCACAGTGCCACTACTCGGCCACTGACAGTTCTGGTGTGTTATGCTAGTAGCGGCCAGTGTAGCCTGGAGCTGCTAGCCTCAAGTAGAGATAATGAGTGGACTACAGAGGTCTGTTAAGGTCACTTCTTAAACTTCACACCAACAGATGTTTTTTTTACTTGTAATCTTCAGCCCTGTTGCCTTAAAGGATGTCACTAATATAAATATTTTCTGGTTTCTTTACTCCTCTATGACAGTAAACTGAATATCTTTAGGTTGTGGTAAAACAAGACATTTGAGGATGTCATTTTGGGCTTTGGGAAACACTGATCACCATTATTATTATTTTTTTTTTACAATTTTCTGACATTTTACAGACCGAACCAAATATTCATTGCGGAAATAATCCTTAGTTGCAGCCCTATGTGGTAGTACTCTCCAAGATCAGACGGTGGAGTACGCATCTAAGAAATTATATTTCAGTTATTTCAAGGCTTCATATAAGCCTAATACTTTTAGAAGATGCCCCTGAAAACTAAATTGGGTTAGCCCGAGACTGCACTCAAATAGTCACCCAAATTTGACTTCATTGTGCAACCTATCCGGCAATTTGCCAGAGTGATTACTCTTTTATTTATTTAAATATTCTATACAGCCATTTAGCATGACACATTCTCAGTGGCTGTTATCGCTTTAAACACATTTATACAGAATGTGTTGGTGTGAGATCCAACTCTGTGTGTGTCCCTACTTGTCCAGCTGGTGGGAGTTATGCAATCTGTATTCCAGTGATGTAAGACTGTTGGATAATTAATTATAATTAATCACCACATACATACTGTAAATAGGACTATGTTGTGAGCATCACTTACCCCCACTAAATTGCTGGGTGTTGATCTTTGATCAAGTCAACTGAAACCGCTATTTTGTGACTTTTCACAGTTTAAAGTTCACAAAAGGAAAGAGAAGAGGATAGTCATTGTGGTTTTCTTGTTGGTTTTACAGAGGTTTGCTTTTTTGGTGCTAATGGAGGATACAAAATGATTACAGTGATGGTGGAAATAGCCCAGCAATTGCCCCAAACGAATACGTTACAGCCACTGTAGAATCTACTGCATAGATTTCAAAACTTTTGTGCATACTAGTCATTTTAACACCATTTTTAACATATGTGAAAATGGGGCCCAGGTAATTTAAAAAATATATATTCTCTTGTCAGAAATAGGCCGTTTTCACAGTAATAATTTTGACTTCTCATACTGTGACATATTAAAATGTCCACTTTCAAAAATGCCTATTACTGATGGTTTAAGTGTCTCAGGTGTTTGTAATTTGACTCATTTTTGATTGGGTGTTCCAGTATAAAGACTGTATTATTTCAGATTGTGAGGTTGATGTCTGACTAAGATCTGTTACTGAAACATTGCATTTTCACTTGACAGTGTGCCAGAATTAAAATTTTCTTTATCCCAATGAAAGGTATGATCGTTCAATTCAAAGAGAATCTATGCCTGTTCTCTTTGAGTGCGACTTTCATTAATATTCAACAATGTCAATTTTCAGCGGTGGATCGATGAGGCACTCTGCAGGGTGTTGATGCTCATCATCCTTACGTCTAATTGCAGCCTTGTTGGCACTAAGCACAGAGCAGGCTGAAGAATGGAAACAAAATGTACATGGAATACAGTGCTGAAACCAAGAATGTCCCTCAAAAAAAAATCCGACTGAGATGTTTCATTTTTGACACTCACATCACTCACATCACTCACATCACTCACACACCAGCATCATTTCTGCACTGAAATTATTATGCGTAATTCAGATGACATGTCAGACACAGCACTGGTGAAAATTACAAATGACCTTCTAATTGCATCAGA